CAGGTCAATTTTGGGTAGGAAAACATTTTTGCTAAAACATGTATGGTTAGATGTTGTTTTTCACGCTGATTCCGAATATCATGTTTATTTTGCTTTATCATCATGCCATGGCAATGAAACCCGCTAAAAATGTTCATATTTACTGAAAAACCATCAAAACCCATAAAAAATTCGGAGGTGTAAGCCCTTTTTTGCATCAATACTAAATTTTTTTTTTTGAAATATTTTTTTACCATTTTGTAGAGAATAAAAAGTTGCACAACGTATATAAAATTCAGTCTGGGGACTCCTGATCCTGAAATACAGCAGAAGGTACATTGTTTTATTTGGACTGATCAAAAGAACCCCCTTTGACTCATGTTGGCTTTATAAAACTTAAGTTGTTACACAATATATTATATCAATATAGCTTATTTTGTTCAGCTTTTAATTCTCTATCTTCCTATGTATACCATGCAAAATTTCAATAATCTGCTGAAACCCAAGATAGCACATCTTTTATAGGGTATTTTTTCTTGTTTTTCCTCAAAAAGATATGATAGTGCTAAAAGTCAGCATTGGCTAACTTTCGAAAGGAAGAGTATTAAAATCTAAAACTTTGAGGTTGGTGGTTTTACGAGGGAAGCACCCGAACTGTTTACAAGCTTCTGAATTCGGACTTTGTACATAAGGTAGACCCCAATGAGTTATGAAAAACCCCAAAAGGACAAGTACCCATAGACCTTCCGTACAAAGTTGTAGGGGTTTTACTGAAATTTTAGCCTATATTACTGTATGCACTAGAGAATCAAATAAACGCTATTTTAAGCTGAAATTTTGCCCAAAGATAGGGTTACTAGTAAATAGAATTTCCTAGAAATTTCAGGTCAAAAGAATGTTCCCTTCACACGATATTGAATTCCTAAAAATCCTTCACATTTCATGAAAGATTCGAGAATCTCATATTTTTTGGGGGATTAAATATCTCATGAAGGAAACATTCTTTTGACCAGAAATTTCTAGGACATTCTATTTACTAGTAGGCCTAACTTTGGGCAAAATTTCAGCTCGAAATAGCGTTTATTTGATTCTTTAGTGCATACAGTAATATAGGCTAAAATTCCAGTAAAACCCCTATAACTTTGTACGGAAGGCCTATGGGCACTTGTCGTTTTGGGGTTTTTCATAACTCATTGGAGTCTATCTTATGTACAAAGTCCGAACTCAGAAGCTTTTAAACAGTTCGGGTACTTCCCTCGTTAGACATTGATGCTTTGAACGAGGAAAAAAATCAAAAGAAAAAATTTTTGTCGAGTGTCTCATATATTGGAGTGATACTCGATCGGCTCATGGACCCTCTCTTAAATAGCAATGCAATTGGCACACGAGTCTTCATTTGCGCCTGCTTTTATTTAGGGGTTTATTTGATGAATCGGAATGTAATAGAAGGACTCATCTCAACGTTACCTAACCTCAAACATCTAGAATTTCAAACTGCCTGTTCTGAGAATGTGATTGATGGATTATGGTGGGAAAATATTAGTCGTAATCTTATTACATTGAACTTCAACTTCAGAATACATGTTCAAGATGTTCAAGGAACTCTGAATTCTTTTCGCACGAAATTTTGGCTTCACAACAAGCATTGGTATGTAGCTTACAAATATGATCGGTTTTTCACAGTTCCTCGTTTTGCTGAAAACTGTGTTTTGATTGATTATGAGCCTCCTCCTTCTTCAACAACGATTAGCAAAACCATTTTCTTCGATTGTGTGACACAGCTCGAAACCTCAAGAACAAGGTCTCTCAGTACTCGTTTCTTTCAAAACGTTCGAACTTTAAAACTGAATAGTATCGACGACTTTGAAGTGATCTTAAGTATGGTTCGATTAGATCGAATAACACATGTAATTCTTTCCTGTCCTATAACATGCTGCAAGTTGATTTCCAATTATTTACATAGAATGCCGAATCTTCACACATTATCCATCACAAACAACACATCGTCTTTTGTGAATCATTTAAAAAAAGTAAGCTTCAAGGAAATAAAAACGCTCATACTGGACATAGATTGGTCATCAGATGACGTATCTTGTGTCAGTAAATTATGCCAGTGTTTTCCCGCCGTTGAACATTTACGAGCAAAATCCAATTGTTCATCGGTTTTTGTTCACATGGTCGATGGATTTTCGTACTTATCAAACGCATCATTCATGTACATGTCTTTGACCGAGAAAAAACGACGAGATTTGTTGACAGCACCGGAATGGACAATTTATGAAGCACGTCGATTGGCTATGGGTCAGTTAATATGCAAATTCTCTGAGCCATATCTTCATGCATGGATAGATGAACAGGTAAGCAAATTGCTTGAATGCTTATTACTGTTTTATCAGTGAGATAGTGTTGTTATTTAGTCTCCAGAATCAAATTGGCTCTCTTATTGGTACAAACGGCGACGCTTTATTCCATGGTTCATTAAAGCCAAGTTTTTATTGACAATTGAAGTACTGGAAAAACTTTTCAACTATCCTATGTTCCGTGTAATAATCCACATAGACTATCTGCTAGTATTCTATACGTATTGGCAATATATTGTTATCATGTATGGCTACGACGAAAGCAGACTCTATATATTTTTCGCTTTGGTTCTTTTTACATTATTGCCCGTCCTCATTTTAAACCCGTATGAAATGAAATCGATTTATCGATTCGTTATGTTTTTAACTATAGCAGCACTCATGGACTTGATTAATCTCGTGTTTGGTCAACGTTGGGATACACTTGTACACTATCAAGCTGCTGCTTGCCTATGCGAAAGCCAAACATCGTGTGTGCGTAGAAATGGTCTATGCCATATTTATTCCATCTTGGATTCAAAAGGCTTTCTAGGAGGCGCTCTAAGAAACACAGCCATATGCAAGTTCGATTTCGCTCGGTGGTGTTTTGGTGTTATCATATTTTCTGCATTAGTGTTGTTTTCATTTATTATAAACAAAATCCTCAGATAGATTGTGAACCAGTTCAAATCGAAAATGAATCGGCCTATTTGCTAACAAAAAGACAAATTAATCTGCTACTATCAAATTTTGCTTTTTACGGTGTGGGTGGACGTGGGTGGGGGTGTGCATGTGGATCTCGGCTCGGATGTGAGTGTGCGGGTGAGGGTGTGGATGAATGTCGATGTGGATGGGTGTGGCTGTGGCTGTGGGTGGGTGTGGGTGTAGTTGCGGGTGGGTGGGTGTGGGTGTAGTTGCGGGTGGGTGGGTGTGGGTGTGCG